TCAACTGCAATAAGTTAAATGTAGTTTCCAATTTGGCCAGATCAATGGGACTGGGTCAGAGTTGAACAAGAAAAAAGCAACACTTGTTCCAAGTTTGAATGAAATTGATCAATACAAAGCTTAAACAGCACTATTATGTGACCAAAAATAACCACTTGTTACCCCAAAATACTCCTGTCTCTTGAAGCTGTGTTTCATAATATTGTACATATATTCCATGTATGCTGTGATGGGGTTAACAAGTCAGGAGCCACCAAAGTTACACCAGCTGTGTGCATCAAATGAACTATAATATGCAACACCTTGGCACTATCTAGTAAAATTTGCATATTAATGGAGGAGACAGTTTAATAACAACGATAAATGTGTTTTATATCATACTAAGAAGTACACTTTTACAGATGAGATGAGTTTTTAAAATTATTATGAGAACAATTATGAACACAATAATTCATGTTATGGAAGTGCTTATCATTTCCGGTAACGGTATATATGCTTCTTAAGTACCACCATCTTTCTATTTATTTGACCATATAAAGGAATAAATTAATGTTTGGTGGAGGTGAATGAATTGTTAGAAAAAAAATGACAATTAAGTTACAATTAAGATGGTTTTAACTAGTGGTACATTGTTGTAGCAACAAAGAAAACTTAATTTTAGAAAAAAAATGAAACATGGAATGTTTTACTCATTGATAAATACTGTAAAATTTTTGCTGAAAAGACTTTTTGACGAGTTGAATGTAAAATATAGGAAAAAAAGGTGTATTCATTGTATTTTATTTTCATAATAATTTTCATTCCTTCAGCGAAATAGCAAATTTTAATTTGAAGCAAAAATAAAGTATTTTACAGAAGACACATCATGAATATGTTGTTTCCCGCTATTAAATTGCTAGAAGAAAATAAGTATTAAAAATTTTTTTTTTTTAGTGAAACAATTATTAGAAAAAATGTTTCAGGTAACTCCTATAAGTTGCACCATAGACAGTATAGTATATACTGTATAGTATATACTGTCTATGGTTGCACATATTGTGAAAATAGATAAGTAACAAATAAGTGAATTATTTGTGATGTTATCAATTATTGCT